CTTGTTTTTTACAACTTGTAGAGCACAGCTGGAAGTGGCACCCCAGAGACTCAGCCTCTCCATTTTATTATACTTCGGGAAATCTGGACAGGGAAGCAGGATTCCTGCAAATTAGCTACATTTCCCTTTCTCCTTCTCAGTTTCCAGCACTAGGAGATTTGCTAAGGCCTATATTCTTTTAATCTTTTCTGGGCAGTGGGGGATAGATCTTTGTCAGAAGCTTCTCTCCAGGCCACCTTGAAATGAAGAGGGAGGCTTGTAGGCTGGAAGGCAGCAATGTTCTACTACGTTTGGTTCTCTGCCTTATCCTCCTTTTGCAGTGGCACTGTGACAAGGCAAGCCTTCTCTGAATTGTCTGCAGATCTCATTCAGGGGACACATATGAACCAGAATAACTTTCTCATTGCTTTTCTTTCTGCTGGACAGCCAGGAATGTTTCTCTATTGGTGAGAAATGTTTCACTAGTCCACCACAATGAGAGGTGGTGGAACTCTTTCTTGACTCCAGAAGAAAACTAATGGAGTCTAATCAAGCACTTTAAATATTCAGTATGATCAGAGGAGGAAAATATGGATGTATTTTATAACTCCCACTGATATTAAATTCTAGCTGTAGTTAGTCCTAGACATAAATTCCAGAAAATTGAATGTAAATGTACGTGTTAATATACTATAATATTGAACATTGGTCTCTGAGTAATTTTTCTTTTCTTAGTACTATTTATTAAAATAGTAATTGGCTTTTCCATTTTTTAAAACTTGTTTTTTCCCCTCAGTTCTATTTCATCTCTGCATTTTGATTCATGCATTTCAGTAATATTTTCCTGAAGGTTTTGAATCACATTATGCTCTAATAATTCTAAGGGCAAGGAGGAAGAAAGGCAGACGTATTACTAGAAAAGCTGTATTAAGGTGGAGTGCTCCCAAGAAGCAGAATGACAAATTGAATGGTTTCCTCCTAAGGATTTGATTATATTATTTATGGTTCCATCAGAACATCATATGTCTTACTCTATAATTAAATGTTTTGATAAAATCCTAACTAACTAGTGCAAGTCAAAATAAGGTTTTACTAAGGGACTTTAACATTTACAAATCAGCTATATAGATTAGTTGTTATATGAAAGGTTTGTACATTCTTCTAAGTGATTGTTTGATTTTTTACTACCATAGGTTTGTTTAAGAAGAAAATACAAAACATACATTAAGAGTTTATTAATTTTAATTAACAAATTTGGACATATTACATCCTTATGATTTTTTTTGAGGAAAAATAGTAAGAATATTTTGTATATTTAAACTTGGTTTTTTGGAAGATTGTATAATTTTGTTTATGTTAGTATGATATGATGCATTCTCGAAGGGCAGGTGTATAAACTTCATTTTGTCATTTGTTAAGTTACTTTTTTGTTGTTTTTAGGGCTCACCTAAATACAAATTGAGCACAAAGTGATTTTGGTATATGCAGGTTGAATACATGTGTACACTTATGTAATAATGCATGTTTCACATCTTCAAATTGATTAGATAGGCACTGGAGATTTAGAAACTATATAATTTTAATAAAATAGAGGGGATTTACAGACTTTATAATCTTTCTCTCTTTCACAGATCTTTTCTTTTCTTTTCTCCTCTCTTCTCTTTTCCTTTCCTCCCCTCCCCTCCCCTCCCCTCTCCTCCCCTTTCCTTCCCTTTCCCTTTCCTTTCCTTTCTTTTCTTTTCTTTCTTTCTGGTAGTACTGGAGATCAAGCGCAGGGCCTGACAAATGCTAGGCAAACACTGTCACTGAGCTGCATCCCAGCCCTAGATAGAGTTCTTTGCTGAATTTATTTCTCTCCTGCTACTTTATATTCTGTATGGCAAGGAAGCAAGATCCAAACTTAATATCTGTTTACAAAGAGCCAGAAACTTATAGTTTCTCAATATGAAGTTGATTGGGTAGTTTGGATTTATGGCTTTGGCCAGCACAATAGGCTATGTATTTATGCTATTATTTATTTAGTAAGGCTCCTGTATATCCCTGAAGCAGTATATTACTTAAGATCAAAATGGTTAGAGGCTTAGCCACCAACCTCGATTGAAATCTAGCTGCATCATTTACTAGCTTTTGTGTATGCAAGCAGGTTTCAATACACTGGGTTCCTTAGTTTCATTATATGTAAGAAAGAGAGAATTATGATCTGTTAAAGAATTTTGGGGAGAATTTAGTGTACTTAACATGTTAAGAATTATGTCCAGCACATAGTGAGAACTTCATGTTAAAAAATTACCAGATTAAATAATAATCAACTTTTTCTCTTTACTTGGTAGGTAGTGTAAGGAATGACACGAAGCAGAGACCACTCAACAGACTTGTGCGAGCGCAACATGACATATGGCCTAATAGCTGTGTGCAGACAAACAGAAGGAGATAAGGCTGTCTATAGGGAACTGAGAAAAGTGGGCTTTTAAAAATAGGGCATAAAAAAAGGCAAAAGACATCCGGCAGGAAGATCTTAGTAAATATCAGTGATCAAAGGTCTTTGGATGTTTTGTGCCTCAGTGGGCAAAGTGCTTAAGGCATCTGGTGTGAATATTTGGGTGTCATCAGATGTCCTGGTATTTGGATGAGTCCATGCTTCATCTTACCTCTTTTATGACATCCTGTGTTTGTCAAGGGCAGCCCTGGTGGTGAGCTGAGAGCGATGCTTCTGCTGGCAGACAGGTAGGGTACTGGGAGTGTTATGTCCAAATAATCTGATAGGTAGTGTCCATGTTGACATTCACATTTTAGCAAAAAGATATGGAAGAAATTAAAGATCATATGTAAATGTTACGATTTTTAAAAAATACAGATTTATAGCTTGATTATTTTAGAAATGAACAGATTACAGATCTTTTTCCAGTTATAGCTATAGCACTTTGCACTGCCTTGAGTCAATTATGAATATTGTTGCAACTGTATAAAAAGCTGTTGATATTATTTTCAACCATTATGAACATCATTACTTAGTTTAAAGTCAAGTATTATGGAGTGTATAACTCAGCTTCAAGGGTTATTTAATGAAAATACTATTGGAAAATACTATTAGTAACAACTAGGAAATTATCAGTCTTTAAGATGACTATCCCATGATGCTATCCTGATTTCTGAATGGCATATGAAAACCAGGAATGCAGCAGGATAGGATGTTAGAAGTTGGTTATTTTATAGAAACAACCAATATCATTTTCCTGTATGGTATTCTTTACTCATTCTTTATAGAAGTCATAGGGAGACTGGATCTTACCCTTTTTTGTAGTGAGATAAAAGGAACCTATAATCTTTCAATGGAAAAATGTACCACAGGGTATGAACAAATAATATCCTATCTATTGTTTATCCCACTGAGATTTTCTGCCTCTCTAGTTAGAGCGATGGGTGAATAAAAATTAATTAGAAGCTGGAATCTGATTTTAAGATGGGATGTCAGACACATATATCAAGTTGTTAGGTTAGCTGTAAAGCATAACCTGGGATTTATATATTTAGAAGTCATAATAAATCTGTCTGTCATGAAAATCAGATTACTCAGTGTTGCATGCTAATGGCTATAGTCTCATGGAATTGTGGGCTCCTCAACAATTGCCCACTAGCTCTGCTATTTTCTTTCTTTCTGCCTGCCTTAACCAACTAGTGGTTCCCTCTCCCCACTTAGCAAAGTGCCTACTTCAATAAATGCTTCTGGACCTTTAGAAAGAGGGGATGTTTCCCTCTAGAATTTAGCAGTGACTTCCTAGGGTTCTCTTTGACTCTGTTTTTTCAACAGTAATCAGCCAGTGCATCAATCATTTTATTCCCTAACCTAATAATTATTTCTGTGGTATTTATTGAATACTTGCTATGTGCCAGGCTGTTTACAGAGCCATGGGAACCTAACAAAACTACTGCCTTCTCTTGTGGAGGGCAGTAATGTGGAAGAAAGATAAGAAACCTTATCAGCTCTTTGTGAGATGGATGTAGGGAAGGATTTCAGGAATCTGGACTTGTGGGCATTTGGAAAGACTTCCAAGGGGCTGTACATTTTGAGCTGAGTGGTGTGAGCTAGGCTGTTGTTAGAGATGAGAACTGATGAGTAGTCTTCCCAGCTAAAGGGATAGCCTCTTAACCTGTAAAGGTTAAGAGGTGAAAGAATAAGGTCCATTGTAGAGTTATGATGGGGATAGGTGGTGTATTAATTACTTTTCTAGTTGCTGAGGCAAAATACCTGATGCCCAGAGTTAAGGCTGGATTTATTACCTTACAGTTTGTGGAGGTTTCAGTCCATCAGCAGCTGGGTCCAAGGCAGTGTGGCATGTCAGCCAGGCATCACAGAGAAGAAATAGTTCATGGCAGGAAAAGGTAGAATAGCAAGAAAGGAACCTTAGCAATTTTTTTCTTGCCCCTTTTATACTCTATCTAGACTACTAGGATTAGGGTGGTGCCAAACCAGTCAGTGGGCTGATTTAGTCATCAGTCTTAATATCACACACTCTAGATCCAGCCACCTCTGCAAAAGCCCCACCTAAGACTGCCTGTGGCTCTGAGGGGACAGCTATACATAAGCCATAACAAGTGGTAAGTGATGAGAATGGAGATTTTTACAGGGCTTTATAAACGAGGCTACATACTTATGACCTTTCTAAGGACAGTAGGGAGTTATTGAAGGGCTTAAATTCTGGTGATAGCCCTACTTTCTTTTTTTTTTTTTTTCAGATATCAACAAAATTTTATTTATAAAGTTGTCCAAACACAAGAAAATTCTGGTTTCATTTGTATGAACTATCAAAAACCTAGAGAGAATGCTGCTTCATCTCAAATCAGGTTTTCGATGACAGCTTTTCAACATAAAATACATCAAGGTGAAATACCTGAAACACTTCTCTAGTCCATATACACTTTGAATAATCCTGTAATAAGTTTCTTCAGCAATTGACAGTGCTGAAAAAAATCTATTGTAGTGTCCTAAGTCATCATTAGCAGCAGTGGTGGCAGCATTAGTCCTACTTCCAGAATCTGTAAAATCCCAAAGCTATTGCCAGGCAAGTAAACACTGAGGCTGCGAGATAACAAATTGTCTCAAGTTTGTTAGACTCCATTAGTGTTTTTAAGGAAGCAATTTCAGTGTCAGTTTTATTACTGGTCTCTGAAATAACACTTTTGATTTGGGTATCTTTTCTGGTGAATTCTGTGGTTGCTTCCATAAGTTGCCTTTCTTGATCTGTAAACATATCTGTTACTCTGCTGCTTTCCAGGTTGATGTCCAGTTTATTATCTGCTCTGATTCGGCTGGTTTCATGTATCAGTTGTTGTTTAACTTGATCTAATTCAATTTTCATTTTCTCATTCTCTGCTCTCAGATTTGCAAATTCACTTTTTTCTAGGATGACCATATCTTTCCTGCTAGAATCCAAATGAGCCATTAGCTGTTGAACTGTTATTTCCTGTTGCGCTTGAGTGACCATCTCCTTATAGATAGTGTCCAGGCTGACATTTGACAAAGTGGTTAATGCTGATACAATTGTTTCTGCTTGTGCTTTGTCAAATCCATGAGTTTCTAAATCTTGAACCAATGCATGGCTATCAAAAGTTAATTTCCTTTGTTCCAAAGGAGTTATGTCCACTGGCCTGCTATCATATCCTCCTTTGCTTGTGGTGGTCAAGAAATCTTTCCCAACCAGTGTACGCCTTTACCGCCCCAGGGAAGCGGGGTCCTGAAGAACATTTCCTGGTATGAGGTACAGCCCCAAAGCAGGCTCCCTTGGGAAAGCCTGTGTCTATTCGCGGTAGGTCTGTGGAGACTGGACTCCGAGCGCCGCACTGCAACCCGGGAACTGATAGCCCTACTTTCAGAGGTGTCAAAAGCTGTCACGTGATTGCCTTTCACCTGAGGTGCTGTCACATTTCTTATCATGGTCTTGGAGATTGCAGAGTGGTGCTATTTTATCCTTCTGACTTTAGTTTTCACTCTGCCTCCTCAAGCTCTAGGCATATTTGAACTCTATATTGTCCAAATGGTCTGTGGACTTCTGTACTTCCATATGTTATTCTTATTCCCAACCAGTTGGCCTCCACCTCCTGTCCCCATATTTGTCATGTATCTATACCCTATATATTTTTCAAGGTTCAATTCAGTACCACTACTATGGAAGGCTTTCTTTGATTTATACCAGGAAGAATTAAACCTGCCTTAGGCTTATAATTCCTTAAGTGTGGGTTTTTTTTTTTGCTTATTCTTACATTAAAAAAATTGGCTCCAGACTATGTTTCAGGTGTGCAACAATGATGAACAAGTCAAAGTACTTGACTTCATGGAGTTTAATAATATAAACATTTATCCTCATTTATCTTGCCTGCAGATATGCTTAGGTGTTTCCTAGATTTGCATTTCAGGTGCATAAAGATTGATATTATGGTCCTTGTGTTTGAAGAATAAATTTGTTTTGGATGATTGGATGAGGAATAAAAAGAAACACATTGAATGTCTGAAGAGTGATTTGGCGTGGTTCTTTGCACTTTGGCATAAAGGTAAAAGTATTGATCTTGGAGTTGTATTTTTCCAAGTTCAAATACATCTGCCACTTTCTGCCTTGCAACCTAGGATAAATTACTTAACTTTTCTATGCTGATTTTTTTTTTTTTAGTTCAGTAGTATTGACTTTAGGGTGTCATGGAGATTAAAAACAACATTGACAAGTTGCCTGCCACCATGCTAGGCATATGAACGTTAAGTGTTCCATCTTTTATGTATTGTGTATGTTATTTTCCATAAACTTCAGGTATAAAAAACAGGTTAAAAGCTTTATACTCCATCTACCTTTAGAAACATAAAAATTGACAGACTAAAGCACTCACGGTCCATCTAATAACTACCATTTTAGTCTACATTAGTCTTCCTAAGAGACATTTCATCAGAAAACCTCGCTTTTTTATTTGCCTCTGGATTGTTTCATGGATCTGCAATGGTTGATGCAGCCTGGGTTCTTTTAGCAACTACTTACCAGCCAAAGCAAAAACTGTTCTGAAAGTCCGTTTTAGCTGAGTGTGATGGTACACATCTGGAGGCTGAGGTAGGAGGATCACTCTGAGTTTGAGGTCAGCCTGGGATACAAAGTGAGTTGAATGCCAGTCTGAACTGGCATAGTGAAAACCTGTCTCAAAAAAAAAAATGAAAATAAAAATTAAAAAAGAAAAAAGAAGAAATAAAACCCATTTTATTTTCTATCTGTACCACCTCTTGAAACTGCTTATTCTCTGTATGGAATAAATGCTTTGCAAATTAGAAAGCTGAATGGTGTTTTTAGCGTGACTCCACTGTAGCTGAGAAGGGTCAAGGTAGCAGATTACCTGTTATAGTCTACATGTGTAGAGAACAGGCAGGGACTCTCAGAGATACCTGTAGCTGCAAGCTCATAGACAATATGTAGGCTATGGTTCATTTTCTTCCTTTGTTAAGTGATGATCTGAGTGCCTGAATTAGAGGGCACTAATGAGGGCCTACATGAAAAATAATGTGAAGTGCTCAGCACAATTCCTGTGATGTGCAAGCACTCAATAAATACCATAGAATGTAGTCATAGTAATGCACTTGATTGTTAACCAGTTATTATTTTTATAAATTTATAATTATTATTTCATCAGAGTGTTTGTAATTTTTTTTGCTACACTCAAAACTTGAAATAGGAAAACTATGTCATTAAATTTTTATATTGTTTCATTTTTTAGGGAATCTTGTTCAAATGTGTATCTAGTGTTTTACCTAATAGTCAGTACATAAACACTTGTTCCTTATGCGACTTTTTATCTAATTTTCCTACTTTAACTTTTCCCTGTATCAAAAAGTTCCTTTGTGTTCTTTACTATGAGATTTGGTTAAAAGTATTCAGTGTATTCTCTTCACATCTTCTGGTTCTCTGAAGACCTTTATGCTTTTTAGCATGTTAAGCAATAGTCTTCTTAACCTCCTATCATCCCTTTAGGTTAGTAGAAATTATTTCTGACTGGAATTCCCTAGCCTTTGAAGACCATGAAATATTTTCTGAGTGTGTCTATGTATGTGCATATGTATATGTGTGTTTCTTTCTTCCATTAAAAACCAATATCTCTCATAGCATTTCTCAGCCTTTCTAGGAGGAGAGAGAATATAAGCCAGTTGCCAGTGAGCACTTGTGGTCCCATGCAGGACACGTGTGGGACAGAAGGCTGATGCATTTGCTCTGGAGCCACCAAGAACATTCAGATGCCTTCTGAGACTAAGGGCAGCACCTGTTGTGTTCAGCTTCTTCCTTGCAAGAAACTTCACCAGAATCTAAGAGACTTTTAGTGGGACACTGGAGACTGCTTTTTCCTTCCTTCCCTTCAGTCCCATGCTTGCTGTTCACTCAGTATTTCTTAAAGTACAATGCTTGCTTTTCTCTTTCTTGCCCTGATAGCTTTTGTGTGAGAATGAAGCTATGTTGACTTTTCTGTAAGTCTGATGTCTTTATACAAAACTTTCAGTTTGATGCTTGCCTCACAGAATCACATTAAAATGCTGTTGAAGATCAGCTATAAGGATTCTGTTACTGTTTAACAAGGATTAGATACATTCTTTACTTCTATAAAGATTAATAATCTCTTCATTATTTTGGAAAATCAGTCCTCTAACCCATCTTTAGTTTTCCGATTTGTGATTAAGACCCATAAACATCGAATATTTGTCTTCAGTTTTTACTTAAGAAAAGTCACCACAAGGGCTCAGAGACTTACAGAGTAGAATGACAGGCAAACTACACAGGAGTCCTCTCTGCACTCCAATAGAAATAGGCCAGGCAGGCATCAACGTGGAGAGGGTGGTGTCTGTATGGTCAGAGATTCGAGTTTTTTCTGCGAGATCTCTCAGTTTACAAACATTGAAAAGACTTTTAAAATGTTAAAATGCTAAGTCAGAAATTACCCCATTTGTCCCAGTGAGACAGAGCAATGACCGTGACTCAGCACACAGCTCACCATGTTCCACCCTCGACATCATACGGAGATTGCACGGCTCTGCGTTTCCATACTACTCTGGTTCTAGGAGAGAAAGAAACTCCAAACAAACCAAGATTACAGGTAGATGTCTCATTTCCTCAAATTATTAAAATATCTTTTAGAAAGACAAGACTTTATAGTATTTTCTTCTGAACAGCAATCCTTTAAAGGATTCCCTAAGATATATGTGTTCCTTGTTTTTCACTTAGTATTGAAGGCTTAAGGGGTTTTGTGTGTTCCTTCTCTTGTTGCCATTTGGCAGGCACTACTTATGCTTTAAAAAAAATTAAAGTGATATGCGGTGAGAAAAAGTTACTGGAGCCTCAAAATTGGGTAATATCAATTACATTCTCATGTCTAATAACCTGTGCCTGGGAAACACAACTCGTTTGTTATAAATACCCAATGCCAAATCAAGAATAAACAGCTCTTTGTTTTCTTTGGTATTTACAACATCACTTTAACTACTTTGACCCTATTCAGGGAGGTAATGAAGAGCTGGGTGCCAGTGATGTTGATAAACTGTGGCAATTTCTGCATTGTGTCTTATAGCTGCCTCTGCTCCAGCCTCCATTATTTAAATTGCTAGTCATTACAGTCATGCTATTAACTGGAAATGCAGCAAGATGACACATAGGCACAGGGCCAGCAAGACACTGTAGTCCTTCTTATTGAGTGCCACATTCTGGGATGGGGAGCAATAGGCATAAAAAGGATACACACAAAGGCTTGAACACTTATGAGTTCTTTGCAGTGAGAGGAGGGTGATTTTCAGTTCTGACTTGCTATGTTTTTTGCACTTTAATCCAAAATCACAGGCTATTTTGTTCTTCCCCTTCACGATCAGATGTAAAAGGTTATGGAATTAGGAAGTTGGGATATGGGATATGAGTAAAGCAATTGTCCAGTCACTTGACTCTTATAAATATCATTTTTAGAAAAGTACACATTTTGTTACATAGAGCCCCGAATGCACAAGGAGCCTGTCAGTCTTCATTGCTTGATTAAGACTCACAGTTAATGTAGTCCTTGCATATTCAAGTAGCAAATACTTTCTTTTGATCTAACAGCGTACACTCCATGCATCCTAATCTATCTGGGGAGCTGCCTACAAAAACATGGCTTCTGGCCAGTTGTTCAAGACCTACTGGGAGGGAGTGATTGGAGGAGGTTTTTATTATTCAATATTTTTTGTAGAAGACCTAGAATTCCTTTTCTGCAGGATGTAATCTATTGCAGCACACTGCTTTCCTTGGAAAAATTTGTCCATTATTTATGGGAGCCTTTATATTATGAACAGAGAAATTGGGGCCTATATGTGATGTGTATTGAAAAGAGGGGAAAGTTCTAGTTACTTCTTTCTTGTCATTTTCCTTATACACATAAAAAGCAAGTGTACATTGTATATTACTATATATATATATACATATAAACACATGTAATATATATTTTTAAATACATATAACATATATTTACAGGGATAAAGACATGAAGACTTCTATTTTATTGGAGTTTGCTCTGTGACCTGGTCTTGGAAACTTGATTTCTCCAGGACATTTTCAGATGGAAGTAACAGAAATCTAGCTCAACTGGCTTAAAACACAAATGTTAAATGTAGATAGAAATAAGGTGATGCAACGATTCAGCACTAGTGAGAACAAAGGTTCTTTTCATTATGT